AGCTGGAGCTCAGGCTATCCCCGTTCACTTCCAAAGGCACCCACAGTGTGTCCCCATGTGCACCAAGCACTGTTTGAAATGAAAACACACACAACAGTCTTTTATGAAATTGTCTGCTGTGATCTAAATATATGGATTTGGCCATACAGTTTTTCAAAAGCAGTCCAGCAGAGCATAAAATATTTAACTCTTTTCTCTCTCTCTCTCTCTCCCTTTTTATTTTTTTCGGTAGTTGCCAGCCTTGCCCAAGGTGAAGGGGCGATGCGTTCATGCTTTAGGGGCCGTGCACTGAGTCTTGCTATATTTTAAACAGATAATTTCCTTATCATTTGAAAGCGCGTCTACAGAAACCAGGTTTTGTCTCCTCTTTTTTTTTTTGTTAACCATGTTTGTTGTTGTCCTTACTCCTCTTTGTTGCTGGCATTTTAAACAGATAATTTCCTTATCATTTGAAAGCGCGTCTACAGAAACCAGGTTTTGTCTCCTCTTTTTTTTTTTTGTTAACCATGTTTGTTGTTGTCCTTACTCCTCTTTGTTGCTGGCATGCAAAAGAGATACTGTATCTTTAAGTGAACCAGGGCCTCCTCACAATGGGGCCCGGCAGAGAAATGGCTAGTGTGCTGGGGGGCTGGGTTTAATCTAATTTAGTTGGAGGGTGTCCGTCTGCGGTGTTGTTTTTTGGAGTGTGGGAATAGAGGAGGGACGTGGCCCCTTGAATGGCCCCTCCTGAGCCAGAAGCAGTGGGGAGCCCCCAGAAGCCAGCCATCCAAGCCGGGCATGAAAGGGGGATTAGAGGGCTGCTCTGATTAGCAATTCACAGGAATGCACCCCGTGGAACCTTTGGTAATATTTCAAACCGGCTTTTCAAGGGAAGTGCCCTTAAAATAGCTGCGCAAGCCTTCCTGGAGCTGGCGCTGACCTGGAGCAGGCTGCACAGGACCCCACCTCCATTGTCGTCTGTTTGTCTGTTTGTTTGTTTCTCACTCCACTTGCTGCGTCTGAAGGAGAATGTTGAGGTGTAAGGGAAACGTTTGTGCCTGTTGAATATGCTGCTGGGGGCACTGGTTCTGGGCACCCGGGGTCTGTTTTCTGCATGTAAACAGACATTTCACTCAGGGCCACAAACGGTGTTTTCCTTTAGAGAACAGTGAAGTGTGTTTTCCTTTAGCGAACAGTGAGGCAGGGTGGTACTGCCGAGAGAAGAAGCCTGCATAGTGTGTAAATGACGTTTCCCTCTGGGGGGGTTGGCGTTAGACTTGATCTTTGAGTTTCCCTCCCCCTTGTACACCCAGGAGATCTGGAATGGGGAGGCTGTCTGCTCTCCTAAAGATTTACTACCTCTTTGGAACCTTGAGAGAGGGTGGCCAGGAGTCCCCGGACCCATCAGGCAGCGATTAGTAAACAGATCCGGGCTGATTCTTATTGGAAGCAGAATTGGACAAACGCACCACTAAATAAATACAAACACTGGTGCCCAAGCGGGTAGGCAGGGACAACAGGAAAGTGGACTGAGCCTAGAGAGAACTTCAGGCCGGCTACTGGTGCAAGCAGGCGGGACCCCAGCGCATATGTGTCACCAAACTTGTGGGCACTTGTGTAGGTCTTGTAAAGGCTGCCGGTCTGGGCCGGGGAGGCACTCCACACACCACGTTCACTCTCAGAGGGCTGGCCACGTGCGAAGCAGCAGCCCCTGCGTGGCCTCCCTTCTCCTTTTCTTTACAGAAAGTACCAGGACTTGTTTTGTCCTATCTCTAAGAGGCGATTTGGGTTCTCCTCCATCACCTTTAAGAAAACCTTGCAGCTCGCGTATCATTTCCGCGGACGGTGGCCTGAGGAGAAAAGATGTACAGTTGCTTTTGAGCGGTGTGTGGGTCGGAGTGTGTCATCGGTTGGGGTGGGGATCCACCCCACCCCGGCCACCGCTGTGGCTTCTTCTGGAAGATTGAGAGTACCGGGTTCCAGTTCAGACACTGCCCATGCCCCCTATCCCCTCTTCAAGCCCCAGTTCTTTCCCTGGTGAAACATGATTTGCAAGAACTTGAGGCTAGATCATGTGGGGGAGGGAAGGGAAAGCTTTATTATTTTATTTTTCAGATAGTGGGGTGGGGGAAATTTTTTTTCCTTCCTTGTCCCTGCAAGCCAGCCAGTTATTTGAAATCATGTTTAATTATGAAGTTTCATTAGAAACCTTTGCTCAAAATTTTAGAGACCTAATAAGATTTCCATTAATTTAAACCTATCACTGTTCCCAGGACAGCTCCAAATGCTTTCCCGTCCCTCTTTCATCCATGCTTAAATATGTAAATAAAATGTCTAAAGTCATTCTTCAAAGAAGACAAAAGAAAAAAGGCCCCGGAGACAAGACAACCATAAAATTCCTCCCGATTCTCCATAACATTTGTCAGAGGGGGGCCGGCGGTGAGCCAGCCCGAGCAGCAGGGGACCCAGGCTGCACCACAGACGCTAGCTTCTCAAATCCCACACACAGGAGGAGAAGGAAAATAAAATAAAATATCTTTTCAGCCCGAGCCATCAAAAGACCCTTTTCATTTCTTAGTTAGAGCTATCTTCTACAGGCGGATTTCTCGGAGCCTCCATTTCCCCCCTATAATGAAATCTATCTGTTGGTTTCCATCTCAGCTGGGCCGGCCCGGCCTTGCCCCAGACTTTTTTTATTTTAATTAAAAACAAAACAAAACATACACACAGGAGAAGGAAGTCATCTGCAGCCCCCAGAGCTACAGGAATGGTCTGCAGAAGGCTGAATGGAAGCCGCCTGCAGGGAGTCCGTGCATGAGGAGGTGCTTTCCCCAAAGGCTGCACCCCTCCAGGCCTGGGACTGGGGGCTCCCATCTTCACTCTTTGCCTCTCAGTTGTTTCTGAAACAAAAAGGAAGGCAGAGAAAGGGGGTGCCACCCCAGAGGGCCTCCCCCCCTCACCCACCCCCAGGGACATTTCTAGTAAAAGCTGGGTGAGAGTGCCCTAGGAGAAGCAGCTAGGAGCACAGTGGGGAAAGGGGAGTCCTTTTAGAGCGAACTCCCCACCAGACACTGGAATAATAACTTCCTCCGCACCCCAACTTCCAGTAGCCCCTCATGGACAGATCCAGGGGGGCAGGGTCTGGGCTAGGTGGCTCCCAGTAATGTTGGACAGGGTTTAAGTAAAACCCAGTACTTGGTGAAAAGGGACCCCCACACACACATTCTGCCACTGCTTACCACCAGCTGCTGGGAGGACGGCTGTCCCCGCCCCCAGCGGGTCTCACAGCCCAGAGCTGTCTGGGGAGGGACCCACTCCTGCAAAGCCCCAGAAGGGAGGGAGTGGGCCGCCCACCCACCAGCGATGTCCCCAGGCCTCGGCTCTGCCAGCCTCCACCGCGATGTGGGGATGATGGAACAGAACGCCACGCTGCCCACTGTGTGGGTGTCGGGGGAGGGTGGACACGGGATCTGAGGTCCCCTAGCGTTCCCCACCCTACCCCCAGCAGGCCGGCGAGAGATGAAAGGCAAGATCTGGTTGTTCTAGAACTTTTAAAGCCGCCAAATTTTAAGGGGGTCCAAGAGGATAGAGGATGGGCCACGTCCCAGGGGCAGTGTTTATTTAAGAGTTCATTCAGATCGCTGGACGTATTGCTCGGAGAGGTGGGTGCTAGTGTGGGCGCGGGACGCCCGCGTCACGTGCGGGGGCGGGGGCTGTCGCGAGTGACTTGGCCACACTGGAGATGGCTCCCGGCAGACGGGTCGGCTGAGGGCAGGAGGTCAGCCACTAAAAGCCGACTGCTCAGCCCCGGGATCCCCGGGCGCGTCCCATCTCCCAGCCTCCCGCCCCAACCCCCAGCTCCCCAACCTCAGGGCGCGCCACCCGCCAAAGAATAGAAATACCGCGCGAACGAAAGACTTCCTACAATAAGTAAACTCCGCCGTCCCAAAGCATCCGGGCCCGGGCGGGAGGCCCACACTCCGCGGTGCTGTGGTGGTGGGGCCCCTCCGAAGTCAGCCGAACCCCGACTTTCCAGGGATGGGGCGCAAGCGTCCCGGGACGGCCCCCGCCTTCAGGCTAGCGACTTTGCTTCAGGACACTCACCCACGCCCCTCCCCGGACCCGCGCACTCCTCTTTGAAGTTTCAAAGCGACCCCCGGGAGCCGGCACCCCAGGCCATCGCACTGCCCCCGCCCCTCAGGCGGCGGCCCCTTCACAGGCCACCGCCCTTTTATGGCGGGACAGTAAAACGCAAATCCCCCGCCCTTTGA